AGCCATGGCGTGCGGTTAAAGCGGCTGGGTCCCACAACGCCCACGACATAGGTGAGTCCCAGACCTGGTGGCCTGGAATACATGCCAGGCACGTGTGCCCGTCTGCCCAAAATCCGGGGAGGAGGTTGTGCTGAGGGAAGAGCGCCAGACTCGTACACCCGAGCGAGCTTCTGCCTGCCCGAGGCACCCCGGGGAAGCCACCGCCACCCGGTCTGACCAGGAGGCAAAACCCTCCACTGAGGAGTAGGGGATAAGGAGGAGGAGAATACGCTAAACTCAGAGTCACTGGACGGGAGGGCAGTGAGACTCACTTCAGAGTGAAAATGACAACGCGCCCCAAGAAACTCAAAGGATCATCCTGTCGAGGACGGGGAGCTGCAATGAATTCACTGGGGTTTCTCTCGGAAGGTCAGAGAACGGCTCAGAGTCATCCTCCGAAAGAACTGGGAATGGAAGAGGAAGATGTGACTGAAGTTGATCAGGAACAAACGGGGGTCATTCGACGGTTTAGATTGTTTTTTATTATTTTTTTCTTTTCCCTCGATTCTTTTTTATTTTTAAAAATAGTTCTTCTGTAATGTGCAGTGGAGAAGCTGGCACACGGCACTGCAGCCACGTCACTGAAGTGGCCTTCATGTGCCACCTAACACGGTGCCCTGAGAGCACGTCACCTGTGAGGGTCGTGCCAAGAGTAGAGGGTACACAGCTTGGACGTTACCGTGAGGAAGCAGCAGGTAAACCTACACGGGGCGACAGTCTAGAAAACAGCGGGCCTGTACTCTTCACAAATGTCGGTGTCAGCCAAAGAAAGACAGGGAACATGGAGACTACACGCAGGGCGCCGGGACCACCACAGACCAGGATCGGGCAGTGCCACCAACGGCAGTGCTGGGTGACTGGCGAGATGTGAATGTCCACAGGTAGAGAATGGCACTGCGTCACTGGAAACGCCGCTTTCGCCGGTCACACGGTGGCTAGGAAAGCGACCTCCTGGCTTTGTGAAGATACGCAGAGGGGCCAGCCATGGCGTGCGGTTAAAGCGGCTGGGTCCCACAACGCCCACGACATAGGTGAGTCCCAGACCTGGTGGCCTGGAATACATGCCAGGCACGTGTGCCCGTCTGCCCAAAATCCGGGGAGGAGGTTGTGCTGAGGGAAGAGCGCCAGACTCGTACACCCGAGCGAGCTTCTGCCTGCCCGAGGCACCCCGGGGAAGCCACCGCCACCCGGTCTGACCAGGAGGCAAAACCCTCCACTGAGGAGTAGGGGATAAGGAGGAGGAGAATACGCTAAACTCAGAGTCACTGGACGGGAGGGCAGTGAGACTCACTTCAGAGTGAAAATGACAACGCGCCCCAAGAAACTCAAAGGATCATCCTGTCGAGGACGGGGAGCTGCAATGAATTCACTGGGGTTTCTCTCGGAAGGTCAGAGAACGGCTCAGAGTCATCCTCCGAAAGAACTGGGAATGGAAGAGGAAGATGTGACTGAAGTTGATCAGGAACAAACGGGGGTCATTCGACGGTTTAGATTGTTTTTTATTATTTTTTTCTTTTCCCTCGATTCTTTTTTATTTTTAAAAATAGTTCTTCTGTAATGTGGTGTTCAAAATGGAGTTGAAAACTGGCTCCCGGTCTCTTTAAAACACCCAGTCATCTGAATCCTGGTGCTCACTACTGGTTGTCGTTCGTGTCATTGTGCTGATGCCTCCGCTCCCTTCACGGTGCCCTCTCCTTCATAAAAGTCACACGTGTGCACAGAGAGGTCGCCTGTTTCAGGGCTGCATTTTCAGGCTTGCGTGGGTAACTAAGATCGGCCAGCACGAGTGTTCATAGTGACTTTCGAATTGGCCTTGAAGTTTCAGCATGATTGCTTCGCTCCTGGGCTACAACTTTTTCTCAGAGAACCGAACTGTGCAAAAATGACCTTTCCTGGGACCAGCAGTTAGCGTAATGGCTATGTCGCTGGACTGCCATGTAGTCGACCACGGTTCAAGTCCTGGACCTGGTGGCTTAAAGTCACACCAGGCGCATGTGTGTGTGCGCCCAAGATCCCGAGAGGAGAATGGAGAAGGGACTGCGGCGTGGCCATCCCCCCTGGGGGTGATTTCTCGCTTTCTATCTCTCTGTCTGCCTCTGTCTGTCTGGCGAGCGCACACGCCCTACAGCAAAAACCTCTCCAAAAGAAAAAGAAAAAAAGAAAAATGACCTTTCCTTAACTTGAAGCTATTTTTAAAATCTGAGGGTCTGGACCAAAAGAAGAGGGATATGAGATTGGAGTCAAGATGACAGATACGGGGAAAGTTCGCTAACTCCAAAGATGGCTTCACTGAAGAGAATGCATTTTAAGATTTAAAAAATCTTGTCAGAAGATCCCAGAACAGTTCTAATTTCCATTAGCAGTTAATAAAGTTATTCATGAGAAGTGTATACAACAGAACACTGCTCTTTTTGATTGTATTTGTACTTCTTGGCCTGGGATATGGGTTTTAAATGGACATTGTCTGTACCAGCTTCATTAAAATAAACAATATTTGTAAAAATCTTAAAAAAAAAAAAAATATCCTGGAGAGAGAGTGGAGAGGGGCCATCCCCCCAGGAGAGGACATTCTCTTTTCCTCTCCCGCGCTTTCGCTCTGTCTCTCGCCGGGGAGCACATGCATCCTATACCAAATAAATAAATAAGTAAACGGCAATAGAAAAAATAGGTATGCACTGAGTTACCTGGGAATAAAGGACATGCTACAACATACTCCCAAATGGCTCAGAAGACAGTAGTTCTATGTAGAGAGAAAGCAAATGTGTCAAACCACTACCAGTGGACGAAATATTCGGGAAAGTATTTGAAGAATTTTGTTCTATTGTTGCAATTTTGCTGTGAGTCTCAAGTTATTTCAGAAGTGAAACAAGAGTCCAGCCTCCACAGGCAGTAGCAGGATGAATTGCAGAGCTAGAAGCCACATGGCAGAGCAAGGTTCAAAGTCACAGCCAACCTGGGATCCCCAGTAAACCTGCAAGCAAGTGGGTGTGTGGGGGTGGAGATGGGGTGGTTATCTACGCCCAGACAGGTGATGGGAAAGGAGGCATCAGCCCAGCCTAAGATGATGCAGGAGGTAGGGGAAGGGCATCACATGAGGAGATCCTGCCAGGGGTCCTTCAGTTCCTTCCTCCCTCCCTTTCCTCTCCCTCCGTCCTCTTCTATCTTGGTGTGCATACACATGCTATTATACATAAAATAAACTTAAAAAAAAGTTAAACATGTGTACGTATTATCTATGAGCCAACATTTTTGTTTGAGATTTTGCTACAGGGTGCGTGCACTCACTAGAAAGACAGAAAACAAGATATCACCTCTCCTCCCAGGAGAAATGGCCACACCGCAATACCCTCTCCTCTATTTTCCCCTTGGGATTTGGGGTACACACACACATGCACACCCGCTAGCATGCACACCCGCCTGGCATGAGTTTCAAGACACCAGGTGCAGAACTCGAACCGCAGTTAATCACGTGGGAGTCCAGTGCCTTAACCACTATGCTACCTACTGGCTCCCAGAAGGTCTTAATGACTTTGAAGCAGCTACTCTACTTAGCTTTATTTTCATTTTAGTAAGTCAAGGTCAAAGTCCTTGGCAAACAACAAAGATTTGAAATACTGTCTGTGTCTCTGGGCCAATGGTGTGGCTAAGAACTGCTTGAACTAATTCCATTTTTTGTCAACTCAACAAAAGTACTGCATCTTAAATCCCTACCCCTGCAAATATCCCGCTGCATATGCAAGACTTGTAAGCTGTCCATAAAACTGCCTTCCAGCTCCTGCAGAGCCAAGTATTCTTCTGCAAGTCTGGCTCCGGGTCCTGGAATTTTCTCAAATTCACGACTTCACCTTTATGTCCAGACTCTGGGGAAGACACATACCCTGAAGGAAAGACAGGACGCTGACCTCAAGGATGTGGGTTAGAACTTTTTATGGGAAGAAGGGTCAAGGTTTTCTACAAGAAGGCACACACAGGGAAGAAGATGTGCACTGACTGACGCCTATTACAGAAAAAGCACCAGCCATACCTCAGGGAGAAAAATCCCAGTGGTGCTGGGGAGATACACACACAGATCGTAGAAAAGCAACGAAAACACCAGGAAACTTTCCAGCCCAGGTCTAACGTCTTGTTTCTCCCTAAACGTAACGGACGTCTACAGAACCCACAATGTGAATTCCTGGTCCTCGACGTGGAACTAGTTGATATCTAAACCCTGCTCTCCCACGGCACCAGGATAACCATGTATTTGCTGAGTCCTCACTAGACCGGGAAGAACTGCGCGAAGTTCCTGCCTTCTCTCTCCTTTTTGAAAGCAGGAAAAACGTCAGATCAACAGGTCCCTGGCTACCGGGCCAACACGCGGCTGGGGTAAACGGTGCCCCTACGAGAGAAAATGAAGCCTGCCTTTCAGGCTGGCGAGGGCGGTCAGCTGGGGCCGCGGGCCTTCCACGCGCGACCACCGACCACCGACCGCGCACTGCCCACGGCCGGGGAGCAGGGCGGGTCTGCGCCAGCACCGCGCCTCCCCCGCGCCCGCGGCCCCGCCCAGCCGCAGGGTAAAAATGTTCAATTCTTCCAGAAATGGCTTTCGGCCAGAATTCAGGTTAACGCTGTCCCAGAAGGTATCCCCGCGGCGACACTCTGCTCCCTGGGGCGAGCTCTCCCCGGGCCGCGGCCGCCCGCCCCGCACAAGTGCCAAGGGCGAAGGAGAGCGGTGGGAAGAGGGGCTGCGGGCGCCGGCACCGGAAGCGCAGGTTCACACTCGGGGTCACCTTGACCCCGACCTCTGACCTCTACTCCAAGCCAGCGGCCGGGAAGGAGCCAAGGGCAGGGCCCAGAACTTCAGGCCGAGCCCCGGGTCGGCTGGGCCTGCCCGCGCGAGGGCTGCCCGACCTACGCCCTCGCCGGGACGGCAGGCTGAGACTGAACCGTGTCTGAGCTCGGCCCTCCTCGTCCGGACTCACCGCCCGTCGGAGCTGCCCAGGTGCCACCGCTCGGAACATGGTCTGGCTCGCGACGCACCCTCGTCCCCACAGCCGCTCGAGACCGCCGTAAGGCTCCTCCTCGGCCGGGCAGCCTAACGCTCGCGAGACGCGCGAACGAGAACACGCGCCCCCGCCTGGGAGACCGAGCCTGCGCTTCCCACCCGCTCATTGGGCGTCCGCGCAGCCAATGGGGACGGCGGAAAGTTAGGGGCCGGACTGGGAGTGGGGCAAAGGGGAGGCTGTTCCTGGGGCCTCGGGTGCAGGCGGCTGACTGCAGGTGGCTGAGCTGGGACTGTGGGAGCCCGGCCGAGGGCAGCGCGGTTGGAGCGGACTCTCCGTCCTGGCCGCCCAGCCTCCGGGTGAAGGCCACGCCTCCTGCGCCCTGCGTTCTCTCGTCCGCGTCTTTATTTGGGTTATCAACGCCGCAGACAGGTGCCGGGAAACGATGCATCAGGTGTTGTCCTGCCCCCGGGCACTGGACGCTCTGGGAGAAACATACAAATAAACGTATCATTAACACTGTGGGAGGATGGCCTCGCCGAATTGCTGGTGTTTGAGCTGGATTCTAGGAGGAACGCGGTGGGCATAAACGGGAGAGGCACAGACTGGAAGGTCCTGAGGACAAAGGGCAGAATGGCTGGAGCTGCAGCTGGAACAGCCTGAATGAGGGGTAACTTGGCAGCCCGCCCTGGCGCCCTTTTCTCCCCACTCGACCCTACCTGAGCCGTCCCACCCACACCCTGGCTTCAGGCCGGATGCCTGCCGTGTCTCTCCTGACCTTCGGATGCACGTACCCACTTGCCTACTGCGCGTCTCCTCAGGATGTCCCTCAGCACCCCAAATCATGTCCTCCAGGGACTGGGCATTCTCTTCCAGAAGTTCTGCTCCTGCATTGCCTTCCTCAGGGAATGCCTTCACCTCCAACCCAGCTACTCAGGCCAGAAGCATGGGAGTCCCGTTTGGCTCCTGTCTCTCCCTTATTCCCTGTTTGAGCAATTCCACTTCCAGGACAGCCCCCAAACCTGCTACAGCTCTCCCCTCCCCACTCTGCATCTGCATTGCCTCCTTACCCTCCTCCGGCTCCCAGTCCTCTCCACCCCACAAGCCGATTCCCACTGCAGCCAAAGAACTCTTTCCAAGGGCAAACTGATGTGACCTCTCCTTTCAATGCACACAAGGGACCAGCAATTAGCGTAATGGCTATGTCGCTGAACTCCCATGTAGTCGACCGCAGTTCGCTTCCTGGACCCGGTGGCTTAAAACTCACGCTGGGCGCGTGTGCGTGCATGCCCAAGGTCCTGAGAGGAGAATGGAGGAGAAGGGATTGCGGTGTGGCCATCCCCCCTGGGGGGTGATTTCTCGCTTTCTAACTCTCTGTCTCTCTCTCTCTGGTGAGCGCACGCGCCCTATAGAAAAAACCTCTAAAAATAAAATCATTGCACTCAAATGGCTTCTCGTTGCTTGCCCCTGTTCCCCTGTGCTTCCCATAGCATAACACTTGTCACATGGGTTGTAATGACCTGGCTACTTGTCTGGGTCACCCATCTGACTATAAGATCTATAAGGGCAGAAAGTTTATCCTACTTTGTAAATTTTGTGTCCACAACACCCAAGACAGTGCCTGGCCCATTGTAGGCATGCAATCCGGATTCATTGGGTGAACCAACAAATTTATAAATGATCTGCTAAAAAGACTGAGCTTTACCATAAATATTTTTAAAGAATTATTTTATTTAACTTTATTTATTTGTTTTAATTTGACCAGAGAGGGACAGAGCAAGAGAGAGGGAGAGAGGGAAAGTGAGAAAGCAAGCCGCCAGGTCCAGGACTTGAACCACAGTCAGCCATGTGGCAGTCTAGTGCCTTTAACCACCACGCCATCTGCTAGCCCCATACCATGAATTTTTTATGAGACAGAAGGAAGGGGGGGTGGAGAGAGAAAGGTAAGTATTTTTGACAGGGTCCCACTGTGTTGAGGTCCTCTGCCCCTGCCGCCCTGTTGGCTAGAATTACAGGCACCTGCCCCCGTACCTGGCTTGCTGTGGTTAGTCCAGGAACTTAGCACGGACCTTCCGTGAGGCCCCAGCCTTGAGCTGCGGGACCCTGTGACTTGTGCCACCACAGCTAGACTTTCATGAAATTTTGAAGCAGGGGACTGACTGATTTACTCATAAACTGTCTAAATTCCCAGTTCCTATCTTCCCAGCTTTGACCTGTCTACAACAAATCCCATTGGTTCCACCTTCAGAAGATGTCCAGAACCCAGCGGTTTCTCCCCGCAGCCCTGGATTTCTCCCCCACCGCCGCTGTCACTCAACATCCTGCCTTCTCCCGTCTGGATCTCTCAAAGCTTCCTAGCTGGGGCTTCTGGGGGTTTTATCTCCTCAAATAAAGGTCTTTTATCCAAGGTGCATGCGGGATGCTGAAAGATGAACCACATTCGCGTAAAGCGCTGCTTCCAAGAGGGGGCTGCAGCCCCCATCCTGGACCCGTCGGGCCAGGCACCCAGACAACACAGCTTGTGACTCACTCGGGGCATCCTGGGATTGTCTCCACACCCCGCTGCGGAACCCGAGTCTCTGGTCTGGTGTGATGGTGTGACGTGGAACCTGTGCTGCTGAGCTGGGCACCCGGTGAGCCCTGGGAAAGCCGCGCCGGCTGAGGTCCAGTGGGTAGTGGTGGACAGCATCCAGAACACTCCGGTCCTACCAGGACGAGTCCCGGCTCTTCCAGGGTGGGAGGTCCTACCAGGACACGCCTACAGCTTTGCCCGGCGCTACGCCAACTTTCCGCGTGTGTCTGGACCATCCAGACAGACTGCAGGGCATCGGATCCTGGACGGACGAGACACACAGAGGCCTTGGGCGGACACAGACGCTCCAGAGCATTAATAGAAACATAAACTCAGCTCTTTCGGTTTGAAATCTGACACACATCCTACATTCAGTTGGTCAGAAAACCTGTACTTGGGACTGGCGAAGATTCTTTTCATTAGCCACGAGTTAATTATTACTCCGACTAATTAGCAAAGAATCTACGATTCCCATAGATCCCTCACCTTTCCAGATTTCTGGTTTTCCTCTCTTACTGGGTGACATCGAAGCCTCCCAGCCCGTCTCTGTGACTCCGCTCTGCCCTTCCTAGTCTGTACTCACATAATAAACACTGGCCCTTTTTTTTTTTTTTTAACGATTTTTAATGTTTTTTTTATTTTATTTAACTATTTTTTTTTATTATTATTGTCCAGTTTGATTAGAGAGAGGCAGAGAGAGAGGGAAAATGAGAAAGCAAGCCTCCAGGTCTGGGACTTGAACGTCATTGGCCATATGGGGGTCCAGTGCCTTTAACCACCATGCCACCTGCCGGTCCCAACGCTGGCACTCTTAAGACCTAAGCCACATGACACCACCTGTGGTCAAAACCCTCTCATCGCACTGGGGAAAGCCCCCAAGGTCTTGCCACGGCTTCGAAGCTCAGCTCGGCCTGGCCCGAGCCTGGCCCTCCAGCTCCTCCCCTGCTCACCCGTCCTCAAGTGCGTAGCCCACACCTGCCCAGGGCCTTGCACTTGCTGCCCCTCTGTGTGGAACGTTTTCCCTCGGATCTTCTACGTGTTTGCTCCCACTTTCCTTTCAGGTCTCGGCCTCTAGACTCCCTCCCGGGACTGGCTTTCCCTGGCCACCATACCTAGCGCCTTCCCGGGTTTCTCCACTTTCCCACTGTGTTTTATTTTTCAGAGCGAGGACTCGGCTCTGTTCACCGCTGTAGCCCTGGCGACTAGGATTCAAACCGAGAATCACCAACGGCACTCGGCAATCCCACTCCGAGGTACACACACCCCGGGGGACGAAACACGTGGCTCTCAAAAACGTGACTGTAGCAGCCGCATTCATTACAGCCGAACATCTACTACGACCCAAAGCCCATCAACCGATGGCCAGTGGACCGAGTGGGCACGTCCGTGCAGTGGGATGTGCTTCCGTGGTAGAGGCGAAGGCAGCACGCACACGCTGCACCGTCGGTGAACCCCGAACACGGCACGCTCAGTGACAGAAGCCGTCACAAAGACCCACACAGTGTGCGACCCCGTTCTATGAAGTCAGAAAGGAGAGGAGACGGGGAGTGCAGAGTGACTGCTGGCTCTGGGCGCTTTCTCCTCGAGATGACGGAAATGACCCCAAGTCGATTGTGGCGATGGCTCCACAACCTTGTCAATATGCTGAAAAGTATTGAATTATACATTTCTTTTTTTTTACATAAGGCACATGGGTTTGCCTGAGAGACAGAGAGAGGGAATGTGAGAAATCACCACTCGATACCTCCTGGGATGTTGGACACACATGCATGCACATGTACCTGGCCTGATTCTCAGGCCACCAGGGCCAGGACTTGAACCACAATCAGCCATGTGAAAGTCCAGCCCCTTAAGCAGCATGCCACCTGCTGGCCCTGAATTATACACTTCAAATAGGCAAATGTCATTGTTCATAAGTGTAACCTTAAAACTATTCATAACACAGATGCGTACTGTGATGGTGAGAGAGGTGTTATAAGTCCTGTCGTTTATTTTCTTAAAAAAAAGTCAATCATTTGAAAAGGCCAGTGATGAGGGATTCAACTGTTAACAATCGCAAAGGCCTGGAACACGCCCCTCTCACACAGTGAGCTCGGCTCTCCAGTATTTTAGGCCCATGAATGGCAGCTGCTACTTTGCACCAGACGGGACCCGGTGAACGCTCTCAGATCCTCTCTGATCCATCCGCACGGCTCGAACTCACTACTCGCTCTCGCTGCTTGAGAACTTCTGAACTGGAGGGGAGGCCAGGGTTTGGCTGGAAGCGGCGTTTACACTGCAGACCACTGTTTTCACTTAACATTTGGAACTGATGGAGACTGGACCCCAGGGTACCGCTTCTGGGTGGTCGCCTCCTCTGTCTGAAAACGGACCACATAGACCCAGCCTCATATTCCTAAAACCTGCTTCGTATTTTCGTGGCTCGCCCCTGTTCTCAACAAGCAATTATTTTGCAATGACATCCTGCCTCTCCAAATAAGCACATGAAAATGGACCTACCCTCCTAGCAACGTCTGCCAACAGAACTTCTTTCTTGGTGCTA